ATGCTGATTGAGTATAAAAGCTCTTTTTAAATTTTGGCAATATGTAACGAAGCCTAAGTCTTCTTCAAGAAAGCTTATACTAAAAGGAAATGCTAACTCAGAGGTTAAAAGGAAATAGATCAGAGTTTTTTCATTTTCTAAATTCCTTCCATTAAAGTGGTACTACTAAAAAAAAAAAATAATAATAGTACTACCGCTGAAATGTCATTTTGTACTTAATGAAATTAAGTATTGGTTTTGGTTTTGAGACACCAGAATGAGCAGTTCCTGTGACTCAGAACCTTCCAGTAGCTTCTCACCTGACAGTGGTAACAGCCAATGCTCTGCCTTGTACATTCCCCTTGGGAGTGCCCAACATCCCTGCTGTTTCACCCTGCTAAGCACGCGTCTCCCTCTGATCCAACTTTCTTCCTTTAGTTACATGGCTGTGTGACTCATTCCCTCAGTTCCCTCAGGTCTCTGGTCAAATTCCCCTTACCCAAATAGCTAACCCTAAAAAGAGAAAGTTCTCTTCTCCCTCTTAGGACTCTTATGCTGACATATCGAATACCGACACCTGGGCCCACTCTGTGTCACCCTAAAGACACATGTACCATTTTTATCACTGTTGCCTCTAGAATGGTCACTATATGTTCGTTAGTTACATGAATGGAGGTCATTTTTATTGGTTCATTAGGACCTGCATCTTTTGAATTGTAACTAATATGAAAATCTAAAAAGATTAGTTGCTTAAAAATTGCTTATATGCAGTGTAGGAATTAATAGAAATCCTGCATATCTAAACATTTCTAGTAAAGACGTTATGGTTTCTTGTGGTAGGATTTTTATACTTTATAAACAAAGTCTGTTTTATTAAACTACAAGAGTTAACTATGCTATATAAATGTTCTTTACAAAGAGTAAGAGTCTCATGACATATGTCTTTTAGCATCATTCGGTTTGCATTCAGTAAACTTTGTCTAAACAGTAATCTGAATTGTAAAACAATTTAAGAATTTTGATACTTATTTATTTGTTTTTTAAGTTATTTATTTATTACCACTGCTAGGGATCAAAGCCAGGCTCTTACATGTGCTAGGTAAGGGTTCCACCACTGAGCAACACCCCAGCCCGATCTTTCAAGGATGAATTTCATGCATTTTGTAAAGTGGAGTCCAGATTGGCATTATTTATTGATAATGTACGTTTCTATTTTTGTATAGATCTTTCTGCAAGAGTAGATGCAGTTAAGGAAGAAAATCTGAAGCTCAAATCAGAAAACCAAGTTCTTGGACAATATATAGAAAACCTCATGTCTGCGTCTAGTGTTTTTCAAACAACTGACACAAAAAGCAAAAGAAAGTAAAGAGTTCATTTCCTCTCTTATGGAGTTGCTTCTCTCTCTCTCTCTCTCTCTCTCTCTCTCTCTCTCTCTCTCTCTCCCTCCGTCTGTCTGTCTGTCTGTCTAACTTGGGTAGGATCCAAAAGTTACAGTATCTTTGTTTGCTTCCTTGAGTATTTATGAAGATAATGTCAGACCTAGGTAATATTAACTGCATAACAGACTTCTATGAGTTTATGTATTATGTTAGTCTATGAAAATGTGCACATGTAGAACCTTTATAATTAGAATTACATATATTTATGAAACTTGAAGATGAATGTTTTATCAATTTGCTTTGAGCTTTAGTTTTAGCACTATCTTTTATCATATATGCTTAATTAGTAAAATATATAAGAAATAACCATGTTGTGAAAAGTGACCAAAATCATGTACTGACTGAATGCACAGCTTCGTACCCTGTCCACCGTCTCGTGCCTCTCCTCCTCCTGCCTCTCCCTTCCCATTTCCCTCCCTAAAAGTGATTTTAATAGTTAATCACCTTTGAGAGTAACCTGAACTGTAACTGCTGAAACTTAACCAAAATAAGATACTTTCTTAGGTAAGGCTTGCCATTTGTGATATTTAGTAATAAGATAGGATTGCTGGTTTCTCTTTAATCAATTGAAAATATATTGAAGCTATAAAAAATGATTTTTCTTTGAAACTGAAACTCTTTAAGAAGTTAGAAACTTCCTTTTGCACAAAATAACCCATTTGGTATCTGACAAGATAGGAGTTCTGGTCATAATGTGTGTGAGAAAAAGAAAATAGTGAGGAAAAATAGAAATAGGGTGGACCACTTGGTAAACAGAAGTAATCAACTCCAAATGTTTTCACTCTAAATGTGTGTTACCTCTGGCCCAAGAGATCTTTTGGGACTATAGAGGCAACTGGATGAAGTCTGACTTCAGTGGATTAATTAAGCCCCATGTCTGAGAGACTGGTTCAAGTTTGGTCTCAAGACATATTTGTACCCAGGAGATGAACTTTTACAAAATGCATTGAGAGTATATTAGTATCAGAATGATGATAAAGGAGATTTTTGTATTTGTAATCATTGTTAATCTTAGTATTTTTCTCTAAGTTGTTTTCCCAGAATTTCTATAAACCCTGCTACATGGTTTGCAGAATTTTAGTCATTGCTTTAACAGTTTTTAAAAATTATAATTTGATGATTCCATTTGATAAAGGAATCAATATCAGAAGTAATATTAAAGTGTTATAATAGGAAAAGAGATCCACTAATGTGGCTTATGGTTATTAGATTTGGGCTACGATTAATCATAAAATGTTCTAATTTGATGATGTTAGCTGTATGAATATGTAGTAGTCATGCTGTAAAAATTTGCATCCCTTTTGTGATCTAATTTACAAATATTTAAAATCGTGTTCTACTTTTGCTTTGCTATTTAATAAAAAGCTGTTTCAGAGGTTGTGTGTGTGTCTGTGCTTTGATGTAGTTGCTCGAGTATAATGGGGTATAAAGGTGTAGTGGTGCATTCACGGTCTTCAGTACCATAGTGTAGAGGGTATCTTTTTAAAAAATATTTTACTATTTTTATTTTATGTGTATGAGTGTTTTACGAAACTGCATGTATGTAAGTGCACCATGTGCATGCAGTGCCCCACAGAGGCCGGTAGAGGGTGTTGGATCCAATAACTGGAGTTTACAGATGGTTGTTAGCCTCTTTGTGGGTGTTGGGGATCAAACCTGGCTTTTTAATCTCTGAGCCATCTCTCCAGCCCCCCTAAATAGTGTATCTTACTTAAGTATCTGTTATTGTTATAGAAATAATATATTTATTAATACATTGTCACAAGTTCTTAAACAGTTAAAACTAAAAGCAAAGTATTGAAAGAGAAGGATCAAGGGAAAGGAGGTTGTATGCTTTAGGTTAGGTTGGGCCACTGTAGCAGGCACAGTGATAGGTGATGGGAAGTACAGAAGCTCCCTGTCCCATTGTTTGTAGTGAACATCACAGCTAACGGCTCTGCTGCATACAGTTACCAAGTTACTAGGTTGTGGATTGATGGCTGTTTGGGGCCATGGCTTCTACATCACTCTTGAATTATCACTATCTCAGTTTGCAGGAAAAGAGCATGAAGTGCACGTGTTCAAAGTGTGGACTTTGCCTGGAAGTGGCTCAGGTCGCCCTGCTCTCCAGTTGTGTAGGTTCTGTTATATCCAAACCCAAGGATGGGTGAGAAATGTGAGCTCTTGGCTGGGAAGCCACATGTGGCTACAACTTTATTACTATGGAAGCAGGTGAAGGGCTTTCGCTGTCTCTCTCAGCCCCAGCTACATCTCGATATATTGCTGCTAAGTATCTCTGCACAATCTTTAAACAGAAAACTTTAAACCTCCCCGTCCTGTGAATGATTTAGCTCAATGCTGGATCTCCATAAAGGTCCATCCCTTTAGATGTGGTTCCAGTAGACTGACAACCTCTTAGCCAAGGGATAAGTACTTGCTCTCACTTCTGTCCTTGATTTAGAGTGCTATGGGACAGGATAGCCATGTGAAAACTCTGTTTGGAAAATGGTATACTCAGATTCAAAGCAGTTGTAGAGTGGTATTTGGAGATAGGTTCCTTGATGTAGAGCCCTGATTCTGATCTCTAGCAAGGGATTTGCATTGTCATTGTTCCCATGGCTTCCCCTCTTGGAAGTTACTCAGTAATCACCTTGCCCCGACTTTGTGAGAATGGCTCACTTACTCTTGGTGTGAAAGTGCAGCACCAACATTCTGTGTGTTTGTGTGCATGTTGGTCAGCGGACAACCTGCAAGAGTCGGTTCTCATCTTCTACCATGTAGATTCCAGGGATGGAACTCAGGTCATCGGGCATGGTGAGCAGGAAACACCCTTGCCTGCTAAGCCATCTTTCCCTAACCCTTTGAATCTCTATTCATAGTTTTATATGTCAGGAACATAGCCAAGCTTTTTTCTAAGCTTGATTTCCTTAGGACCCTACTACCTCTTTAGCAGGCTATCTTGAGATCAACTGAAATGAAAATAATCATGCTGTGAGAATGCTGTAACCAGAGCAGAGCTGTTACAGGGTTGGGTCTTTGGCCCAACAGTCAGTCAGCAGAGGTCTTAATGGACCCCCTCACCGCCTGCACCTGAAAAGCAATGCAATTTCTTTTAACCTTTTCTGCTATTCAGGTTTCAGAAGCCATTGGGTGTCCTGAGCCTGTTAAGTTCCTAGCACTTGAACTTTATTCCTGTCTATTTAGAAATCATGAGCCAGAGTTGTGACCCCCTCCCACAAATCTGGAGCTGTGGTCCACTCACATGAACAGGACCTGTGGTCTCTTCCTGTGAACATGGAACTGTGCCCTGCCCTATGAGCCACACTTGTGATCCCCTCCCTGAGCCTGAGCTATAGTCCCATCCCATGAGCTAGAGCTGTGGTCATCTCTTGTGAGCTGGAACTCTGGTCCCCTCACATGAGCCTGAAGCTTTGGAACCCTACTGTGAGCCACAGTTCCACATTCCTCTGGTAGTAGGCTGATGATGGAGCAGAGTAGAGCATGGAGGACTTCCTGATTCTGGGCAACAGTTACAGTCTTCTCTGAGTGACTATATTTCCCACAGTCCTCTCCCCTGAGGTGCCAGGTTGTTTTTGTTTATGGAAGTGGTTTTGCCTCTTATACTGGGGACAGGGGAGTCCTTTATTATTTACAGATTCTGGTCTTGGGGACCGATTCTCTGTAATGGAACTTACATCTCCCCTGAGGCCCAGCTGTGGTCCTCACTGTACAAGTGGTCCCGGGTATCCAGCCAGGCCTTGATGTTGGACTACTCTCGTTACAGGGATCAAGAGGTTTACCATTATTTTTCTGTTTCTCTTCTACAGTCCTAGTATGCCTTTACCTATGCCCTAATTGAACATCTAGAGATAAAAATCAGTCTGGGAAGTTAAAAAAATAGAAAGTACTATATAATAACTAAATTGATATAATTCTCTAAAAAGGAATTAGATCTTAGATTATAAATTTGAAATTCTATATGTCTAGTATAATTTTTAATATTGTTTACTGATAAAATAACTACCAAGCTTCAACAATGTGAAATTTGTCACTGTTCCTATGTGTTTGCCGCTCATTCCCTTTCCAAATTCTCCACCTATACAGTCTTTCAATGTAATCATGTTACTTCTTAAAGGAGTTAAGCTAATATTTTTAATTAAAATTTTTTAATTGGAATTGATTTTTGTGATACCTTACTAAAAAGCAAGACTACTGCACTGTAAGCCTATTTAAGAGTCTGGCTTTTTTCAACTACCACCATTACTGCTATCAGCTTAGTGGGTAACAAAATAGTTGCCTGAAATATATGCCCCACCTGCTTGTCATGGACATGGTAAGCCCGTTTCTATGTGGCAGTGCCTCACTTCAGAAGATTGATTTCTGTGTTGATGTAGGTGGTGGGGCTGGGGAGATGGCCCAGTGGGTACAGTGCCTCCTGTGCAAGCACGAAGACATGATTTCAGATGCTCAGCACCCACATAAAAGCTGGGCATGGTCTCATGTCTGTAACCCTAGCCCTGGGGTAGAAGCAGAGACAGATTCTTGAAGTTGCTTTCCAGCCAATCCAGAGTCAGTAAGAGACCCCATCCTCCAAAATAAGGAGGAGAATGATAGTAAAAGACATCCGGCATCAACCTCTGGCCTCCACACACACATACACACACCCACATGTACACATGCACCACACGCCCAAAATATAGGTAAACTCCATAAAGGCCCAACTTCTGACTCCTTGACTCAACTGTAGATAAGACCCCTCTGAGTTCACTGACACCTTATCTTTGGTCTGTCTTAGTCCAGTTCCAGCAAGAATTCGGCCAAATTGATTCAGAGAGAATCCTCACCGTCCCTAGTTGATCACCCTGGCCTGCCTTCAGCAAGAATCTTTAGCAATAGTCCATCACCCAGGATGCATCTACATAGTAATTTTCTGCCCACTGACCCAATAACTGTTAATCTGTCTTTGTTATACTAGTGGTTGAGGATCCTCTTCCCCATTGCAGATCCTAATTGTGATTGTCTTGACACCTCTCACAATAGTCCTGAATAAAGGTATCAGACTAGATTCTTCTCCAATACTTCCTAGCTCTATGTGCTGATGGAATGATGCTGGCAGGGAAAATGAGCATGTGGAAATGTTAACAATGTGATTGAATTAGAGAGGCCTTAGGGGGTTAATTACACAATGAAAGTAGAGCCTTCATGAATGGGATTAGTGCCCTTATAAAAAGACCCTGAAGAGGGCTCTTGCTCTTTTTCTGCCACTTGAGGACCCTCACCAGAGCCTGACCATGCCACATGCACATAATCTTGCCGCTGGCCTCCAGAACTGAGAAGTAAAATTTTCTTGTTTAGAAGCCACCCAGCCTGTGGTATTTTGCTATAGCAGGCAGAACAGACCAAAGCACCTTTCCCCTTTGCCCCAAAGTAGAGCTTCCTTGAATACTGGCACTATGGCTCCATCCAAAGCTTGCTCTCCTCTTTGGATGTTCTTTACAGCAAGATGCTACTTACCATAGTCCCTAATTTGTAACTTGTAGGACCAAATGCTTCAAATTTTGGCATTTTCAGATTTTATCAAATGTTAGGTTTGGGGCAGCACCTGTAATACACTCACCTTTCTACAGCAAAATCTATGAGTATTAACACACGGTGGGACGAAGAATGACTCTACAGTCTGTATAAGAGTCCATGGTGCTTACAGAGATATTGTTCTGGAATTATACTTATAGCAATAAACTTTTATAATAAAAGTAATCAACATCAAATAATTATCTACTTCCAAACAGTAAGTTCTCATCCTTATTTCTGGCCATTTTTCTTCCCTGTGATACAGTCCTTTTCCTGAATAAAAGTAGAATTTTAGATTCTGAATGATCTGAAGCAAACAAAAGTGAATCTTATTTCCTTAAGTTGTAAAGTCTTTTTTGTCCAATAACTTTTTAACCTCGAGTTAACACCCACTGGTGATTGTCATTGGAAACTTTTTCAGTGATGTCATAGCCAAAATTACTACACCAGTTTGCTTTAATTCTTAAGATTACATATAAATCCTGAAAGAACAGAGACTACAATTCCATGGGTGGTTGGCGAAGAACTGGACAATGGAATGCTATCTTCACTTCCCAGCCACTTTATACAGATAAGCAGCTTCCATTTATTTCACCCAAACCAGACATAGTAGATTTTAAAAGGCAAGTTTACTACAACAGACTTAATATTGACCTCACAAAGTTTATCTTATGATGGAGGGAGTTTTAAGGAGTGATGAAAGAAGCCAAAGTAACACATTGTAATAATCTATTCAATGTTTTTATCTTATTTTAAAGTTTACAGGTAGCTTATCTGTTATTAATACTTGAAAATAGGGGCTGGAGAGATGGTTCAGCAGTTAAGAGCATTTGCTGCTCTTGCAGAGGACCCACTCAGTTTCCAGCCCCCGGAGCAGGCAGCTCACAACTGCTGCAGTGGATCCTATACCCTCTTCTGGCCTCCTTGGGCAACTGTACCCACATGCACCTACCTGCACAGACACCATGCATACACACAATTTTTAAAATATAGTTTAAAAACCTTGAAAACATAAGATCCACAAAAGATGCATATTGCATTTATTTAACAAACACGAAATTACATTTTAAGATAGGTGTTAGGTGTCAAAAGATGGTCCCCAGTTGTCTCCTCATCTTCAAGACTACCCTTACTCTTCTGTGTACTGTAGGAGTCTTAGAGATGCTCTACTGTGTTTCCACTTCTCTCTCAACAGCTTTGCCTGTCTGACCTGTCAGAAGGGCCATTTCTTAAAGTCCTCCCAGCTGCCATACCACATGTAGAAATGTATAAGAGGTATATGCTTTGAGGAGCAACAATTGAAAGTTATAGAGAAATAATTATGTTTTATAAATCATTTATATAAAAGATTTAAATAGTTGTCTAAACCATCTGATACTTTAAATCTTCCTAAAGTTAAAACATAAAGCCAAAATTGAACAAAATAACCCTAAAGATGTCTAAATGTGTAACATGTGATGACCTGAATAGTTCCTACTTGAATACAAAACCATTTTTTAAAACAACTTTTGGGACTGGAGAGATGACTCAGCACTGACTGCTTTTGCAGAGGACCCAGGTTCGACTCCCAGCACCCACATAGTGGCTACAAACCCCAGTTCCAGGGGAATCCAGCATTCTTCTTCTGACTTCTACGGCATGACATGGGTGCACCCATATACATGCAGACAATACACTCATACACAGTCAATAAAAATATAAAAAATCCAATTTTTATTATTACTCTGTGTGTGTGTGTGTGTGTGTTAGTACACACATGGAGGTCAGAAGCCAACTTTTGAGAGTTCTCTTTCCACTACTGGATCCAGGGATCAAACTCAGGTTATAAGCCCTATGTGACAAGTGCTTTAACCCACTGAGCCATCTCCCTGGCCCTACAAAACATTAAATTTATTGGTAGTGGCTCATGTTATATAAGCAGTCCCATCCTGTGTTTCCTCCAAACTGAGAATGACACTTCAAAAAGACTTACCAATTTTAACCAACATTGAAGTCTTCCTAGAGAAATGATCAATGGAAGCAAGACTAGCTGATGAAAGTAGGGGCTGGAGAGATGGCTCTGCAGTTAAGAGCACTGGCTGCTCTTGCAGAAGACTAGGATCTAGTTCTCAGCACACACATCAGGCTGCTTACAACCACCTGTAACTCCCGTTCCACAGGATCCAATGCTCTCTCCTGGCCCCCGTGGGCACCTGCACACATATGGTACACATGCATACACTCAGACACACAAACATACACATAAAATAAAAATAAATATTTTTAAAAGCAAAAACAAGTTAGTTTAATAGCTTAAAAGTCTCTAAAAAACAACTAAGAAAAAAGCAAAGCATAGATATTTTTCTTTTATTAGAGATAAATATAAATTCAAGTAATTTTAAATTAAGTCAGATTAAGGTAGTAGAAGGGAAAAGCCACTTGGTTACCAACTGCATAGACCTCACGCATGTCAATCACAAGTGTTTAATTTCAGTTGAACTGTCAGTCATGGCTCCTCCATAGAGGAGAACACCAGCAGGGATCCACAGTGATTTGGCAAAACTGATTGTTCAAGCTGGGCACAGTTGCTCACACCTGTAATCCCAGCACTCAGGAGGCTGATGCAGGAGGATTGCTGCAAGTTTGCAGCCAGCCTGGGCTACTTAGGAGTTCTAGGCCAACCTGAGTTACGGAGTAAGACCTTGCATCAATAAAATAATGGAGATAAAATTGGTTGCTCAAATTTTGCCACTGTATGCTCCTGAATTTTAACCATATGTTCATGCTAAATGAATCTGCAACCAAGGAAGCAAAAACAGCTTTAATCAATCTTTAGAAAAAGTGTCCACATAAAGTTACTTGACAGGCACAGTTCTCATAAGGTTAAGGATGAAGTATAGCTATTTACTTTGAGAAATATTCTCATCCAGTTACTTCAAATGTCTAGTTCAAAACAGCAGAGAAAGTCCTTGCAAGATGTGCTAAGCTCAGTCCTTGCTAACTAAATACAAATTATGGTTAGCTGTGTTAAAATTTCCAACCCCCAGTTGATAAGTTAGATCACGGTGGTGGGCATGCTCTCACTATAAGTTCTAGTCAGTCTGAGAGAAGACTCAGGCAGCATCACCTGTGCTCAGCTTCCTTCCGCAAGGTGAAGCTAGATTCTTCCTGTATGTGAGCTGTGAATGTTCTCATGGGAGGGATGTAAGGGAAATGAAGTGGGAATTGTCTAACGATGGGGTGTATGCATGTCTAGGAAAAAAGTCCAAAATCTTACCCAACTCAGAAAGTTTTCTAGAGACTTAGTATTAAAATGACTCTGTAGTCTCAAGAGACATAAATTACCTTCCAAAGAGCTGAAACCCATTGTTCAAATATAAGAAATTTTTCAATAAAAGGGAACAACACAGTTTAATCATAGGTATTTCAGGGACTCTTGGTAACCATTCTAAAAGAGGGGCGACAGCAAAGCTGTGCTCACCCACCTCGGAGGCAGCTGTGAAAGTGACACCAGACTCAAAATGCATGTGAATTCATCAGCAAAAAAGCAAGGTCAAAACACAAAGTAGGAGGAATTGGAATTGCCATAAGGACCTCATAATAGTAATATGGTGCTTCTCCAAGACTAATCTATATATAAAGAAGGTATAATTTAAAGAAGAAAAATATTTCAATTGTATTTTCAAGAGCAGCATATACACAAGCAGTTTTGTGAATGGGGTAAACCATTCAGGCACGAAGCAGCTAGGAAAGCTTGAAAAAATCTTTATATCATTTGGTTTTGATGAACCTATTATCTTTGTGTTCACATATTACCTATTATCTTTGTGATAGGTAATGTGATGAACCTATTATCTTTGTGCTTCCAGATTACCCAGCGATTCCACTAGTGCCAGACATCTGTTCAGCCGACACACCTGTTAACACATCACCTCTTCAAGGACTCTGTAATTTCTGTGAACTGACCATAACGATTGTGTAACACAAACAAGGTAAGTGTGGGTCCCAAACAACACTCTAAATCGAAGAACCACAGAGGAACTCACTCTCCATCTGTACAACAGAGCACACTCTCACTTCTATTATAAAACTACCTACTACCTTTTTGCATAGTCATTAAAGTGGAAAGCCCAATAGTTGATTTATTTCAACAGCTGTAAAGTTACTGCATATTATTTTGCTCTATAAAACAAAAACTATCTCCAAACTCTTAAAACTGTATCTTCTAATGACAGTAATCTCTTGGATCTCAGATGTAATGCTCCACGTTTCTTTTATTCTAAATTCAAAGACCAGATAACTGCAAAGTTACTTTTTCCCCCAAAAGAAAGAAAGAAAGAAGTATCTGAAAGAATAACATTGCTGGAGATTTAGAGTTTGCACAGGTGGGTTCAAGGTCCACTCAGGCATGCTAGCTTCAGAATGCCAGGTATCTATCTCTCTTGGGAATCCAAAATACTCGAACACGCTTTAGTCCTTCCGTACCCTCCTCTTGCGTAATGACTTCAATGGCGCATCTCCAGATCCTGTGCTCTCATCAGCTTCTTTCATCTAGGAGACATGAATTATGGAAAAGTTTACTCTAGTATAACAGGTAAGTAGTAGATAGTAGGGAATATATTCCTTGTTCTTGAAAATACATGCTCTTAACAATCAAGTGCTAACTTACACAAGTTCCTTTACTGCATGCAGCTGATCCTAAATGAGATCTAAACTGATGCTTCAATTAGCTTGAAGCATCTGACAAAGAACACTACGACAGACTCCTTCACCATTTTATTATGACCTAGAACTTGGACTCAATTGCATAGTTAGTAGTTATATGATTTTCATTGTGGGATCACCAAGACCATTCATCACACTATCTCTGCGAGTAGTGAATTGCTGAGTTCGTTTTACAGAGACTTTTCCAGAACTTTTTGGAAGGAATGCTTCCAGAAAAATTAGGAGAGGAAAAGAACATACCAAATGCAATCATTTGGCATTTTTCTATCCTTTAATTCTTTATCTTTCAGAATATTCATTTGTACACAAAGGCAAATTTTAGGAACAATATAAAATTATGAAAAAATTATACAGATAAATGATTTTATAACTACACTATACCAAGTTATTTCACAAAATGCTGCTATTCAAAAATTGACTTACTTTAGCTTACTGACAAATATACAAGAGACAACGAAAAGGCTGGAAGGTGGAATTAAGCTGCTTTGTGAGGCAGATGCTACTAGCACACATCTGAGTAAATGACTGCAAGTGTAATTACCAATGTCAAAGCTCAAACAATGGCAGGTGAAAACTCTGCTCTGGAAGCAATTACCTTGGCCAGCTCCTCTTCAACATGCAAAGTCATACAGATAATGAACGCCAAAGTCCCTTTAGAACCCAAACACAGTAACCAGGCCTGTAGACTGAATAAGCTTTAGAAAAAAACCACAATAACAACTAACTTATTTGGGAGATCTCTTTAAGATACTTTATTATTTTTATTTTATGTGCATGAATGTATTGCCTGCATGTTTGTAAGTGCACACATGTCATGCAGTGCACACCAAGATCAGAAGGTGTCAGATCCCCTGGAGCTGGTTTACAGACAGTTGTTAGCTACCATGTAGATTCTGGGAGTCAAACTGGGGTCCTCTACAATAGCAGCCAGTGTTCTTAACCCCTGAGCGATCTCTCCAGCCCTGGGAGATCTCTTTTATACTTTTATTATTTTTATTTTATGTGTATGACTGTATTGCTTGCATGTGTTTAAGTGTACCCGTGTTGTACAATGCCCATGGAGGTCAGAAGAGGGTGTAGGATCACCTGGAACCAGAGTTACAGATGGTTGTTAGCTGCTAGGTGGGTGCTGGGATGGAACCCAGGTCCTCTGCAAGAGCAGTCAGTGCTCTTAACTGCTGAGCCATCTCTCTAGCCTCAGGAGATCTCTTTAAACAGAATGGAAGCAAAGACAGGCCAGGCAAAGCTGCACTCTGGCCCTTATGTCAGTGTGCAAAGCAACAGGCTGATGAATGAGGTTAAGTGAAGCTCTCAAGGGATGGAAAAAGCACAGAACACAGGCTTTGGGTTATGCTGGGCAACAAGGAAAGCTGTGGTCCTTACTTATACCCTGGATGGTTTCTGATCCTATAAAAACCACTGAAGAAAAAAGAATGCATTGTGCCAAGTTCCATTTTATATCAATGACACAAAAGAGGTAAACATTTAAAGTTAATAGGAAAAAAACCTAGTTCACCTAAGATTTGAGAAAACGCTGTGTCAGGCAAAGAGTACCCAAATATCTTAATATAACAATTATTTCTAAATGACTGCATTGAGACAAAAAAGGTTTTTATAACATCTATGAGTTAGCATGTATTAATGAGGAATGCATTTTAACTATTTAAGAGATCTTTTTAAATTTTTATGAATAGAGTTACATTTTTTACAGATACACTTCTGTCTTACATTTTGTAAGTTATGGGCAAACTGCTCCTTTATCCAATATTTTCTTGCCTTCATCAATTTATTTAAAATATTTTAATTCTATGTGTATGAGTTTTGCCTACAGGTATATAAGTGTACCATGTGCAAGCAGTATACACAGAGGCCAGAAAAGAGTGTTGAATTCCCTGGGAACTGGAGTTAGGGGCAGTGTTTAGGTGCCATGTGGGTGCAGGGAACTGAACCTGGGTCTCTAAAAGAGTAGCAAGTGCTCTTAACTTCTGAGCCATCTCTCCAGGCCCTAAATTTGTTTTAAAAGCAATGTAGAGGGTCTTATGAAAGTGGGGGAACTATGGCAAACCTTCATGAACCAAACTTTGGTTTTTATTAGAATAATTTTACGGATAACAGTTACACATAGAAGCCAGCTTACTATCTGTTAAACATATGCTTACCTCATCCTCTGACCCGGATTTATTTGACTTATTCCCCTCCTCTTGCCCTTCTATGATTTCAGCTTCTTCTTTGCTTTTTTCTTCAGGCTCACCTTCCTCTTCTAGAACACAGTTTATTAAAGGCAAAGACCCAGTGAATTAGGATTTTGCTACTGAGAAGTATTAAGTACAATAAAGGAGGATTTATTTAAATTCCCAAATTAAGAATTGCAGTTTGTACCTTTCAAAATTGAAAAAAAAGGTTAATGGTAAATGCTCATTATTTTACCACACTTACAACTGAACTATCCTTTTTGTTTGTTTTTGAGACCAGGTTTTCCTGTAGCCCCAGCTGGCATGGAACTCGCTAGACAGACCAGGCTGGAATGGATCTCACTTGACTTGCTTCTGCCTCTCAAGTAATGGGAAAAAAGGTCTGTACCACCATACCCAGTGTCTAAACTATCCTTTTTGAAGCTAAAATAAGGCCCTTTTGATTTAAATGTTCCAAAATTGTTGTTTATAAATGCCTGGTAAAGAATTTGAAATGTCAGTATATAAAGTACTAAGAAGTTACAAACTTAAGACCCTGAGAACTGAAAACCTAAACAACTGTTAAAGTCATGTGTTCTTGGCAGTTCAAAGGTGCAAATCTGGCAATAAGCCACTACAACATTAGGTATTCAAGACGACACGCTGCTGACACGTGCTCCACCCACAGAGGGCCGCTGTCATCAGCCACAATCCCAGCCTTACCCTTTTCAACAATTTCACCCTCACTTGGCTTCTTTTCCTCTTCCAACTCTTCTGTTTTCTCCAGGGCAGCCTTTTCTTCCTTTACCTCCTGTTCCAGTGCCGCCTTGCTCTGTGGTTTACATACATCAGATTTTTTATACTCCATGTCTTCATATTTTTTCTGTGGTAGTTAAAAAAAAATCTATCTTCACTAAAACCAAAGCACTATTTTTCATATTTGTTTGCAATAGCTGGTAACATATTTAATAAACTGGCTATAAATCTTACAGAAAATTAAGATCATTACATTTAAGAATCACTTGCTTAATTCATAGAATACTAACAAATCTGAAAACAAAGTTTAAAGAAATGTGTTTTCTTTACCTTTACTTTTCTTGGCCAAAAAAATGAAGTGATTAATATTATTGGCAGCCCAGCCATCACCAGGTAAATGAGCCAGAGCCATGGATGCTGGTCCGCAGCTGTTTTTAGCTGTTGCAGCACACCAGGCTACAGGAGAAATGGACATAGAAAATTTACAAGTTTCTAGTGGGAAAATGCATGCATGCTACCTAGATGTTTTCTGTTAGGGAGAAAAGAATTGGGAAACAAGACACGCTCCACCCCTCAAATAGCATCCATCACCGAAGCTCAGTACTAGGACCTATGGGGTTTCTCTCTCTCTCTCTCTCTCTCTCTCTCTCTCTCTCTCTCTCTCTCTGTAAATTTCAGGACAAAACTACCTTTTATGGGCATATTAGAGACTTAATTTAGAAATATACACTTCACTTCTATGGGCTAGGGATAAATGGCTCAGTAGGTAAGAGAGCTTGCCTCTCAAGCAAAAGGACCTGAGTTTGAATCCCTAGCACCCATGTAAAAATCTGGGCAGGGCTATGTGAGCCTGTAACTCCAACATTGGGGTGTGGAGACAGGTGGATCCCAGAGCTCCCTGCCCAGCCTGTTGGAACTGATGAGGTTCCGGGTCAGAGGGAGACCTTGTCTTAAACGAGTAAGGAAGAGAGGGATAGACAAGACACTCAGTGTTGGCTTCTGGCCCTTGCATGTATGTGTGCACATGAACAACCAAATGTATGTACCACCCCCCACACAAACACACACACCAAAAATTGGAAAGGAAAGACATCTTTGATTATATGTACTGTCTTTTAAAAGAATTTACTAATAAAATCATTTCAGAATTCTTGTGTTTTCTTTTTTATATGAGCAAATTTACAAGTGGCCCTTATGCCTGAATTTTATATTATTAAAGTAAAATCCAGGGCCACAAAATGTTTGATTTGCCACAATCAAATGTCAAAAGGAACCAAATGGGGTGCATGACACAGCCCAGCAGGTAAAAGTGCTTGTTGCACAAGTCTGACAATCTGAGTTTGATCCCTGGAACCCATACATAAAGCCAGCTGTGGTGGCCTGCATCTGTAAACCCAGAACTGCTATGGGGGAGATGGGAGGTGAAGGCAGGAAATGGCTGGAGGCTTGCGCCAGCCAGCCAGCCTGGAGTACACAGCACAGCAATGGAAACAAAACACGAGCCCTGCCTCAACAAAGCGCAAGGAGAGTACTGACTCCCAAAGGTTGTCCTCTGACCTCCACACATATGCCATGGCACACACACACACACACACACACATGCATATGCATATGTGCACACACATAAATAACATTCTACAAATTAAAAAAAATGTAGGTCTGAAGTTAACTGATTTTAAAGATATGTTTTCCAAAAGACGTTGGGTTGAAATATTTAGTTTAGCCTTTCCTATGCAGTTTTTAACATTTACGGAGGGGCAAAGACATGTTAAAATTTAAAATTCTTTGTATTTCTTTATGTGAGAAGGAGTTGAAATGAATATAAACTGCTGATGCCTCTTTGCCTTATATCAGCAATGTGAAGATACAGTCATTTCTATAAACCACAAGCTTTGAATAAGCTTTGACTCCTATTAAAGCTACATTTAATGAATGAGGACTCAGACATATGATGCACAGTTCATGGTACTGTCCATGCACAAAGCCTAAACATTCCGCACATAAAGCTTATTCAAGTACATTTCCTTGGCAGTGAGCAATTATTGCACATCTGTCTACCCCAACCTAGCGGTGGGTCCATTATGATCAATAGTTCCATCATGTGCCTGTGGTTACTGCCATACCTCGTTAGCATTTGCCACCATTATTTTCAGCTCCCAGCTGTCGGTAGCCCAGCGATCTGCTACCTCCTTTTCTGAACAGATAATAAAATTGTCAAAGTAGATGTCAGGAGTCATGGACCAAAGCTCTAAACCAAGAGCACTGAAGGAAGTCAGAAGAAATGGATGATCATCTTCAAAATAATCTGGGTTAGGAATCTTTTGAGGACTCCAGATTCCCTTGAAGAAAGACAATAAATGAAAATATTTTCAAGCAGAGTAATGCTGTTAAACAAATGAAAAGGAACAAGAGGAGATGATTCAGCTGGTGAAATGCTTGCCGCATAAGTATGAGGACCTGAATTCAGTGTATAGAACCCATGTAAAAAGCTGGTGAGGTGGCACATGCCTGTAATCCCAATGCTGGGGAAGTGACAACAAGGGATCCCCAGAGTCTGCCAGTCACCAAGTCTAGTTGAATCAGCAAGTCCCAGGTTCAGTGAGAGACCCTGTTTCCAAAATACAGTGTAGAAGGCAATCAAAGAAGACACCTGATGTCAGGCTCTGCATGCATACAACACACAGACACACAGACACATAGACATACACACACACAGAGACAAGTGCACACATGCACATACACAAACCTGTTTTGTGATAAATGCTATAAGGAAAGACTATAGTGAAGGACTGCAATATGTAACTACATATATATGTATGTATAAAATAAGAAACATCAATGAATCACTAAAAATATAAAACTAGAGTGTTAAATCAATAATATAGGTAAAGCCAGATCCACTCAATAGGTGTCAACAGTTTAAAAAATTCTGAATTTTAGGGGCTGGAGAGATGGCTCAGCATTTAAGAACACTGGTTGTTCTTGCAGAAGACCTGGGTTCAAATCCCAGCACCACATGGCCACTAACAAATGTCTGTAACTCTAGTCCCAGGGGATCTGACAACCTCTTCTGACCTCTGCGGGCATTGCATGACACAGGTGCACTTACCTACATACAGGCAATACACACATACACATAAAATAAAAATAATAAAATTTAAAAAACTTCTGAATTTTAACAATGTTTAAAGAAATAAGGAGTCTAATGGACCATTAAGCACAGACACTAATTATTCAACTGAACAAGTTGAGTCCTCTCAATCAGAACACATTTATTTACTTCTGAAATAGGACTTTATTCCAAAGTAAGTACCACGCAGTTATTAGAGAGGAAGACAACATGAAGTGATTTGCCTTCAGCTCTTAACTTTGCTACCCAACAAAATCATAAAAAAATGCTATATACTTTATACAAATTATTTGAGGCCTACTTTCTTTGGATTCACAAAATTACAACTCTAAAAAGAGAAATAATTTAAAACACCACAATCTTTTAAACTTCACTAAGGGACAGGGACAACTTGTTATTACCTGGTAGCTAGGGTTATCTATCATTGGAGGTCTCCAGACTCCTTTGTAATTTGGGTTGTCTATCATGGGAGGTTTCCACTCCCCACATCCAATCTGACATGCTGGATTAGGCATGTAAGGTGCCTCCCATTCTCCATCCATGTCCTCATTCCTCAAGACATTAGAACAAAGCAAATATATTAACTGCAAGTCTCTCTGGTAAGGTAAGCCACACGAACTGTTTAAAAAATCAAGACAAATTCAGAACTTTTATGTGAAAAGGAAGAATGCTTACCAATCGTCTGGTTTTTGAGCATTAGGATTTGGGATAAATGTTGGCTCATTGTCAAGCCAGCCATCAGGTTTAATAGCACTTGAGTCTTGTATTTGGGCAGGTTCAGTTTCATCCCTGTAAACACATTATTTTACATTAATAATGACCCTGAAAGTTCTAAAATGCACATGCCAAAAATTCAAAAGGAAGCTAGGTGTGGTAGTGCATGCCTTTAACCTCAGAACTCCAGAGGCAGAGGCAGGTGGATCTCTGTGAGACAGAGGTCAACTGGTCTATATAGCAAGTTCCAGGACAACTGAGGCTATAGGGAGACCCTGTCTCAAAACAACAACAACAATAACAACAACAACAACAACAACAAATTCACAAGGCACCACAACAGTATTTCTTATTCTTCAGTCTGTGCCTATTAAGAATACCTTATCTTCACATAGGTGGAACTGGTAAAAGAAAGGAGCCAGGGGCTCCTCCCAAGCCCATTTGACCCCTGAGGAACAGATCCTTAAACGACCTTAAGAGTAAAAATAAATCGGTTTATCTGGACCAACTGTGTGTCCTTAAACACCCAAAAGGAAAGTATAACCAAAGATTAAAGGGGCCAATATAATTTCATAAGAGACCATATGTATAGCTAAAGGCTACATAGCAAGTAACAATGCCAGACAGGCGATACCTCCTTCTGAGTTGTTGGCCAGGGTGGCCAAAGGGATTCCCAGATAGTAACCCAGCATAGAACTGGGAAAATGAACAGGAGACCCCATCTTATCCAAAGGAATATTGACAACTGAATACAGCTAGATGAGGAACAACTGACCCTCCTAAAACAAAGACCTCTAGATAGGCTGACTAGATTCACCAAAAGGACAAATAGTGGGGAATGGCTGGGGGTGCCGACAACACACCAGACATTAGCAGGG